GTTTGCATTTAAAGTGCTTCTGTCCAGTGTTAGATTGTTTATGTTTTGCCATAGCATACATGGTAAACACTCCTGTAATAACAAGTTATAAACACTGCAATACAATAATTATAAAATCAATATATCATCATAATAATAATAATTAATTAATAGTATCAGAAAACAATAATATAAAAATAAGAATAAATCAAACATACACGAGCTCCTGAATGAAAGATAAATAAAGAGCTATTACAAATAAAACTAAAAGTAAGAATAAAAATAACAACACTGTGAGCCCCCCTCCTCCAAAAAATAAGCCCACCAAATCTCAAATGTAAATTCCTTCTGATAATAAGCCACCCTCAATATAAAAAATAGAACTTGGTCCAGTTATAAGCACCCTATTGTACAGCTTGTTTTGTATACTGTATATGTCGTTTACATTATGATAAAAACATTTTCAATGTAACATTCTGTCCCATAAAAATCCCCTTGACAATAAGCTCTCCAAAAGGCCTGTTTTGTAAGCCCTGGGCTTTTATTTTAATGAGTTTTATGATAGATAAAGGCTTTTAAACACCGATTCAAAAGTTATTTTTGCTTATATTATTGTGATTTTACTAAAGACGTAATCCCGTCCTTTTCCTCGTGCAAGGGCTGTGGAAAAAGGCGGCTATCGTCCAGTGAGCCAGTGGTCCGTGCGTGGGGTGCCGCCCTCCTTTTCGCAAAGAAGGGCTTTGGCGCATCCTGGGGCACCTCACGCACTTTAAGTCCATAGTTAAATTCTTAAAACAACTTGATTTAGTAAATCAATAAACGCGGCCACTTGCGTGGCCAATATTTACCCAACACAATTCTAGTATTCTTTATTAGTGATAGTCACTGGCTCATCGTTTAAGAAAATGCCGATCTGAAACATAAATATACAGTAATAATGCATCCGATGATTCTAGCAGTGACCATCCCAGGGCATTTTCTCACATTTGTAATCCCAGAATTGGACATTACTTTACACCAGCGAAGTTTGACAAGCTTATGGCTTTTTATATCAAAGAAAGATGGCTTCATTTCCATTGATAAGTTCATCAGACTCGAAATTTGTGGCAACTAGCTTTAGGGATGTTAGAATGACATGGTAGATCCACAAAAAGTACAGTAACTACACAAATATTGAGTAACTCTCCTCTTTACCTTGGGGCACTCAACTAAGAAAGTTTAATTTGTTATTCTCTAATTTGATGTGAGAGACCCCTGTGCCATTACTAGTCTGCAGAATAGGAGGTTACATGTAAGCTTTGCCAGTACTGAAAAAGAGAGCTAGAGCGCAAAATGCGAGTAGCGAGAGCGAGGCGCGAATTCACGTGGGCTTGGCAGAACTCCCGCTTCACGCTCGCTTCTCAGTGCGCTGCCCTGTACTTACCATATTTACTTGAACAAAAGGGACGAAAAATCGTCAAGGAATCGTGACTCAACTCAAATCTCTCTTCTTCCCACCGCTAGAGAGGAGGGCAGGAAGAAGAGAGACCCTGGGAACGAGGTTGAATCTAGAGCCTGCAGTACAGATCAGTACAGGGGTTCACTTCACAGTTCACTCGTGCAGAAACTCACTCATGCGAGACTCACTTGGGTATGTTGGAACTATGATCTCATATCTTTGAATTTTGTATAAATTTCTTGGCATAAAAGAGCTTATGACATCAATAGTCCAGAGATTTTAGATTTCAACCCTAAAATCCCCAGTTAGCTCATTGAATACAAACAATAGTTCAGCTAAGTCCGCCAAATTGACTTAAAGACCAAAATTAGAATATTGTAATGGTAAGCGCCACCTCTTCCGGGTGGTTGGTGAGTTTGGAAAATTTCTTACCATTATTCAATGGTCACCCCAACCGGTTTTTTCTTACAAATGGTAAGCACCTTTTTCTTTCAGTGAGCGCGGAGCGTGAGACGGTTCTTCTTTCATCTCACACTCAGCTCCATGGTTGCACCCTGGTCACACCATGTTGCTCTTTGCTGCTATAGATTCAACCTCATTCCCAGGGTCTCTCTTCTTCCTGCCTTCCTCTTTAGGGGTGGGAAGAAGAGAGATTTCAGCTGAGTCGTATAATCCACTATTGTTCCTTACAGGGGCACCCAACGTTACATTTTGACGGCAGTGTTATTAACAAAAAAAAAGGAAATAAGAATGACCCAGATGCATTCAAACTAAAAAAAAAAAAGGAAAGAAAGAACCCATTCGAACCCTCGCCCTCAGTCCCGATGATCAGTTTTAAAAGGTAGCGCCTCACATCATTAGGCCATGAGCGCACCGTATACCATCATTTCTGCAAACCCCAACTCACAAATAAATAAACTAAATAAAGAATGGTTAATACGGACACCAAAGGGACATGAAAAGTTGTCCGTATTATCCGGGTGTCCTTATTAAGCGGGCTGATATAAGGGAAAATATGTGTCAATGGGACAAACAAAAACTGTCCGTAACAAGCGGGTGTCCCTATTAAGTGGGTGTCTGTAAAGCGGGGTTCCACTGTATGGCCATAAACTACACACAATATTTGATCCCGCATGAGCTCTTTTAGCCTGCGAATGGCGCGCGATGGAAGTCGGCTGTATTCGCAGGCTAGAGCTCTTTGAGGGACAAAATTATAAGCCTTGCATGCTCGACTTGACGGCCTCGCTTTGCAAGGAATTACAGCAAGGAGTGACCACTTTTAATTAATTCACATTCTTTCATGCAGATTGTCCAATCAGAAGCTGAGAATGCTTTTCTTTTGCGATCTTGCAGTGAAGACGATTGCTTGTTGCTTTTTTATAGATGCCTGTTTTTGAGGCCTTATACATATAATATGCATGTCAACATTTGAATTTTTGGCTTTGAAACAAATCCAAAATTCGAAATATTGACAGTAAAATCGGGTAATCGACATCCGCTCAACAGCTAAAATTATAATAATTTTCTGCCATTTGGCTGGGTATTAAACATGTAATTTAAACACCGTAATTTACTATAGAGCTAGCATAAATGCATTTTTTGCTTGCTTACCCTCATAAATATCGTGACGTTTTTGTGTATATTTTTTTATTGTCGGGCTTTTGGGTTGCAAAGACACACCAACTTTTTAGAGTGGTGAATCAAAATATAAAAGAATGATTCAAACTTTTCAGAACAGCTAGTCATGGGTTACCGTTGCGACTAGTATACATGTATGTCGCTCGATTTCTGGGAAAATAATTGCCCCCTTAAAATAAAATATAAAACTTTACTCCTGAAAATCCTGTATGGTCAAATTCAACGAGACCTCTGTTGTAGTTCACAATGTAAATGAAGCCGAAATAAGCATGAAGGAAAAGTCCAGCTACATGTAGATACCTGGCAGTCAGGAAGTGTTTTAAAAAAACTCAATATCTGGCGGTCTGAACTTTGTGCAGAATTTCCTCGGCAATTCTCAAGCAAACCTCCTGAAAGTATTTGATTCTTGTTTAGAAATGACAAGCGATTCGAAACATTATTATGGTTTCGAAGTTGACAAATTCCCCGAGCTTGGGCACACTATAAGGTTTTTCAAAAAACTAGATACCTGGCAGTCAGAAATTCTCACCAAATTTTCATAAAATAGTCTACAGTATCAAATACTATCAGGAGGTTTGCAGAATTTTGTGGAAATTCTGTGAGAATTTCAGACAGCCGGGTATGTAGTTTTTTTAACCCTATTCTGCCTCGGCTTTTTTTTTTCGTTCTGAGCCTGGGGGGGGGGCAGATAGTGCCCCCCCCTATGTATCTCGAAAAGTATTGACGCTACGAAAATGAAACTTACATGGTGTGTAAAGCATCCGAAAATCGTTATTTTGTGGCAGTAACGTGTCAATTATGACGTCATACACGCCATAATGACGTCATACATTAAAAAAACCCGCCATCTTGGATCCTAAATCTTGGATTTCTAAATTGTTCAGAAATGTCAGAAAATCTCCAAATTTGTTTTGAAAAAATCAAGAAAAATATAAAGATGCTAAAACGGCAAAGATTTTGGAAGGATTTCATCGTAAAAAGCAAACATTTTATGAAAATTAAGCTAAAAAAACAACAAATTTGGGTAAAATGATCTGCATCTCGAAACGTTTTTGTGCTATAAAAATTAAAATTATGTGGTGTATAAAGCATTCAAACATGTTTATTTTAGTGACAAACACGAATCAATTATGATATCATATCACGCCAAAATAGCGTCATGCTTTAAAAATGTCCGCCATCTTGGATTTTTCAATTGTTCAGAAATGTCAGAAAATCACCAAATTTGATTTGAAAAAATCGAAAACAATATAAGGTTTTGGCAGAAACTCTTCGTAAAAAGCGAAAATCTCGTGAAAACGGAAATTTAAGCTGAAAATACCAAATTTGGCTAAAACAGCCTGTCAAAACTTGGTTGCCATGGAAACATAATGTCACCTGACCAAAAAATTGACACACCAAAATGTTCCCAGATAATTTTTAGGAAAAGTCGTAAAGTTTGGCTATGATTGCTTGACTGCTCTTTAAGTACGATAAATTTGAAGTCAGCGCGGGCACTTTCTGCCCCCCCCCCCCCAGGCAGGATAGGGTTAAAATACTTCCCGACTGCCAGGTATCTATATGTAGCTGGACTTTTCCTGGACTTTTCCTGCTACATTCCAGAAAATATTTTGAGTGTTCATGTGTTCACGAGTGTCCATGACTGTAACTGAAACGTTCAAATTTTCATGTTTTTTACGCTCACTTTTGGCTGACTGGTTTCATATCAAACTGCCTTCAAAACGCGTGAAATGCAGTCTCAGACAACCTAATCTTTCAAAAGTTTCCGGGGTAGAGGGGGAGGGGGCATACCTTGGACCCCTTGTGCCTTCAGCGCTCATACAATGGCACTTTTGGCGCTCTAACTCACCCCCCCCCCCCCCCCCCCTCCCATTCAAAATCCTGTCTACGGGCCTGGTATGTAACTGTTTTCAGTTTGTCATGAGCGTGGGACAAAGAAAAAAATCTGAGTCCCCGATGGGATTTGAACCCATGACTTTCTGTATACCGGTCGGATGCGCTAACCACTGAGCTACAGAGTATGTCATGTGGTGAGTGGTCCTATACTAGGTTCATATGTGTTTTATTTCTTTTTCCCACGCTCGTGACAAACTGAATACAGTTACTTACGTCTGTGACAGTCTTTTTTCTTAATATTTCTCTGAAACAAATAAGTCAAATAGAAAAAGGGAATAACCAAATTAACATGTTGATATGCACAGAGATGTATATCAATGAAAAAATGTAAAACTTCTCTTCATCCTTTGACAATGCAAGTTTAAAGTCTTAAAATTGAGTCTGAATTTAACGTCTGTGACAGTGGAATTGCCCATTTGCTGTATGCTGGGCATAGGAATTAAGGTATTTACACTTACATGTACAGCTTACGGTTTAATACAATGTACCTGACCGATCAACAGAAAATTCTAATTTTAGATGTTAACTGAGCGGATGTTGATTTCCGATTTTACCGTCAATATCATAATTTTTGCATACGTCAAAAACAGCAAAAAAAAGCAACAAGTAAAAAAAGCAATAAGAAATCGTCTTCACAGCAAGATCACGAAAGAATGTGAATGAATAATTAAAAGTTGTTTCGGGAAGCTACATGTATCCTCGGCTTCCGATTGAACAACCTGCATGAGAGAATGTGAATGAATTAAAAGTGGTCACATTTTTGGGCTCCTTGCTGTAATTTAATATAGAAAACTCGAACTTAAGGACATTCATGACCAAAATCTTCCCATGTTCAGATTTTTTTTGAAATGACAAACTCATGTCAGAAACTCATGTCAACTCATGTCAGAAAGGCAAACAAATTGAGGAGTCACCGTGCTCACTTCAAAGATAAACCGTATTGAAGACCGTAGTGTTTCTAGAAACTTTGGTCATGTAAGATATAAGATGGATGTATTTATTTCAATGCAAATAGGCCTTTGAGTAAATTTTTGCACCTGATGTCATTCCTTCATGTAAAATTAGCCTTACAGCCAAAATATTCAGCGCGTTCCGCATAAATAATGACCAATGCTTTCATTAATGAAAATTAATATTACTTTGATTTCGAAACTTCAACTGAATAATGCAATCATTCAACCGTAGCGTCCATTCGAATATCGAGTCTTGATTTGATTAATGGAAAAAATAGCTTTTTCCATCTCCGTGAGATAACTACATGTACCAAACCGCATGATTTGTACATTTTGCACTGATTAGAGGAGCGTGCACGAAATAATGTCTGTTGTCGCAATTCGAGTCAAAGGTATTTTTTTAATATATCACTTTACGGAAAATTTATGAAATTTCCACTTTGTTTTTGCAGCTTTTCGATGATAGCAATGACATAACTACAGAAAGAAAATAGACAACTATTTCTTTACAAAGGCAAGGCAAGAGCCAAGTGTGACAAGCGTGGTTGCGTGACTATCCTGAGTCAACGGTCTGCTGGTTGAAAAGCCGTTGCAGTCGTGGAAGCAAATCCATGTCCTCTTTTATCAAATTACTCAATGAAACTAAAGAGATATTTTTCCATTAATCAAATCTACTGTTGAATGATTGCATTAAGTTTGGAATCTTCAATTAAAAACCAAAGCAATATTGCATTAATGAAAGCATTGGTCATTATTTAGGCGGAACATGCTGAGTATTTTGACTGTAATCAAACTTCCATATTCAGAATTAAATTAATGAAGAGAATCAGTAAAGTAATTGATCTATGAAAATAAACACAGCGGTCACCGAGCATCCAAGAGAGTACATGTAAATCCATGTCAAGTTATTGAAGCGGCCACCAGTACAATATGCGGCATGAATAGTGTGCGCAGTAAGGATGAGCACAAACAATGGGTGCCAACGTCCTTTAACTCAATCTTAACTCAAACTCAACTCAAACTCAACTCGTAATAGACCCCTGTAGACATAATTTGTCAACATTCCTAATCCACTCCCAAGCCAAACAAGCTAGTCTGTGTACATCCACCTCCTCCCTTCAAAAAAATTGGGAAGAGAGAAGTCTGTGTCACTACATCGTTAATAGTGTTCAGCACCCCAGGAGGTTTTCCCAGAATGTAGGGAAAATACCCTAATTGGCTGTTATGCTAATCTTTAAAATTAATGTAAGATATTTGCTGTGTTTTCATTGGTCTAGCCTGTAATGCAGGCAGTTTGTGGGCTTGCGATTGTTTATCTCCTATGAGTGTTTAGCCGCCATATTGGATTCCCAAAACGTGGAGTGTTGGGGCGAGTGAAAGAGGGCAAGGAAGGGGGCGGGGTTGGGGGTTACCTGCCCTCTAAAATGATCTCACGCGCCAAAATGTATGGTCATTATTTATGCTCCGGAACACAATTAACGACGACGTGACAAATTAACGACTCTCTTCCCGATTTTGTTACGGGGTGTCTCGAAAACTCTGACCTCGAAAACTCAGACCCCTTGAAAATTCAGACCTTGAAAATTCAGACCCCTCGAAAACTTAAACATTGAAACTCAACTCAATCCTCGAGCATGATGTGTATCATGGTCACGCAATCACCGCACATTGTACAAGATTTTGCTCTTTTAATAAATAATGATTCACTTTATAGATTCACTTTATAGATTCGAAAACTTAAACATTGAAACTCAACTCAATCCTCGAGCATGATGTGTATCATGGTCACGCAATCACCGCACAATTGTACAAGATTTTGCTCTTTTAATAAATAATGATTCACTTTATAGATTCAATGAACTGCCAGGACATTTTAATAGACGATAGAATCCGCTACCTGTTTATAGGCAACTGATCGCTAGAGCAGGAATGAATATAAATATTTAATAGCACAGCTATATTGATGATTTCCCCTTGACAGTTTATTGAATGGTTTATCGCTAATCGGATCAAACCATGAAAAGCTAAATTCATGTGATGCACAAGATGACACCCAGTAACCCAGCGAAGCATGATTTTAACTCAGACCTCGAACACTACTGAAATGTTCCTCGAAAACTTAAACATCAAAGAGTTCAAACGATCGATAGTTTATAACTATTTGAAATATAGACTGAAAATTTCGCGCGCTCTGATTGGTTAAAAACCATGTTTTTATCAGAGTATAAATCATAGAAAAGCGTGTTTTATCGTTTCGCGTGCATAAATCTATATTTTAAAGCACATAAAGAAGCCAAACCCTTGTATTATACTGTCATAAAACACTCCGGGAATTTGAGAACACTTGAGAAATATAGAAAACACTCACCTACGGCTTGTGTTTTCTAAATTTCTCTCGTGTTCTCAAATTCCCGTCGTGTTTTATGACAGTATAATACATGGTTTTGGCTTCTTTATTTGTTAAATATATAGAGCTCAATAGATGATCATGTATCATGTAACAAAATCACTCCACGCGAGAAATGGTAGTCACGCAATCATCTCACATGAGAAATTGTAGACAGTGTACTACAATTTCGGACATAAGTTGTTGGGACACTTGAGATTAGGTGAGGTGTACCCCTTCCCCCCTGAACAAAGTTGGAAAAAATAAAGAAATTTCAACATTGCAAAAAAGGGGGGAAGGGAAAAACTTGTTAGTGTCCCAACATTAATGGCTAAGATTGTAGATGTAGATATGTATATTTATATGTACAATGTGACCTTCCATTTCACGCCAAATTGCCAAACCGTATTGTTTGTGTTGCGTGATGCTCGAGTTGCAACAGGATACTTTTACAAGTAAAATTTTATTTACTTTTCTAATTGTTTACTTTTTTAAACCAAATTAACTGAGAGATATATAGAGGATATTACACGGCGGCGCGAAGATATGAATTTTATTTTCGAGTGGTAAAAACAATATTTTACGAACGAGCGCAGCGAGTGAGTAAAATATTGTTTTTAACACGAGAAAATAAAATTCATATCTTCAAGCCACCGTGTAATTTTCTTTTATTATATAGACACAAAACCAAAGTACAAACTTTATCGCGAACTCTTGCAGCTCGGTGGCTGGACTTTTCGAATTTCTCTCCTTTCGTCTTCACTTGCAAGGAACTCCTTGAATAATTTTAAGTCATATGAAGGTTTCTTCTTCGTGTTAATATTTTCCTACTCCTCAGTGAACGATTTAATGTTGGCTTCAGTGAATTTCACGAATCTATCGCTCGCCATTTTTCAACCGGAGTTTGGCAGCTTTGCACAAAAAGCCATGCAAAAGCGGGAAATTACGTCATCGATATCCTCACTAGTGAGGATATGGAAAATACGCCACTCGGGTCCCGGATGAAGTTTCGTATGAATTTTACGAGTGGTCTATTTTCCAGTAAAACACTCGTGTCTATATAATAAATAGAGGATATTACACGGCGGCGCGAAGATATTAATTTTATTTTCGAGTGGTAAAAACAATATTTTACGAATGAGCGCAGCGAATGAGTAAAATATTGTTTTTACCACTCAAAAATAAAATTCATATCTTCAAGCCACCGTGTAATTTTCTTTTTATTATATACACAATGTAGACAACAGACAAAAGTACGAACTTTATCCGGCGCGAACTCTTGCAGCTCGGTAACTGGACTTTCCGAATTTCTCTCCTTTCGTCTTAACTTGCAAGGAACTCCTTGATTAATTTTAAGTTATATGAAGTTTTCTACTTCGTGTTAACATTTTCCTACTCCTCAGTGAACGATTTCATGTCGGCTTCAGTGAATTTCACGAATCTATCGGTCGCCATTTTTCAACCGGAGTTTGGCAGCTTTGCGCAAAACGCCATGTAAAAGTGGGAAATGACGTCATCGATATCCTCACTAGTGAGGATATGGAAAATACGCCACTCGGGTCCCGGATGTAGTTTCGTATGAATTTTACGAGTGGTCTATTTTCCAGTAAAACACTCGTGTCTATATAATAATCAGGGATCTTAGCTTTTTTTGCTTTGTTTGCTAATCTTATCAAATTGCCGATAACCCCCATAAATGACACATTTTTTTCGCTTAGCTGTATGGTGCTACAGTTCACAGCAGGTCTGAGTTCACATCACGCTGCGCTGGGTCACTGGGTGCCGT